ATCCCTAATTATCTCAGTCACACAACTCTCACAGTCAGCACTGAAACCCCACCCACCTGCTCCACCTGCTGGGCAGCCAGTCAGAGAAAAGTTAGACTAAAGAGTTGGACTATTGGAGCTATTAGAGTCTTAGAATACAAATATGGAGGTGCAAGAAAAGCATAATGGGTCCCCTTTGAATAAAATGTGGTGGGTTTCCCGTCTTTCCTCCACCTCTCTACCAAGTTTCATGAAAAACCAGCTTATTCGTTTTTATTGTTAATGAGAAAGAAGCTATGGGCATTGTATATTTCTGCTTCTGCTGTGGAGCAATAGAATGGTGTTAATGTCATCAGGGATTTTTTGTTATTTAAAGTTTTGTTAGCTGAATTTTGAGCTGTATGTATTTGTACATTATTAAAGCAGGAGAGAGGAGCTGATAGTGCATAAATATAAATCTCCATGTTTATGGTAGTAAAATAATGGGCATTCATCATCATTTTCTGTGTGATACTGACAAAAATATATATATTTTTTCATTTTCTTTGATAATAGCATTGTTGTGTCAGGGTTTGTTGATTGTTTTTGATCATTCAGTTATCTTTAGACATACTGATTCATGCCTCAAGTTGTACAGTCCAGCCTTCCATTGGCAGAAAGACCACAGACATTTCTCACGGCAGATGTTTCCACTCGGTATGTGGATGTAATGGGGCCAAGTTATCGATCTGCGCTTGTGCTCAGTTAGCAAGTCAAAATATCTGCATGACAAAGAATGTCTAGAAATTAAACGTCCATAGATCTAAGTACAGCCATACAATTTTAAATAAGTTATTTGCTGTCTTACATCTACCTCACGAAAGGTATTGTTCATTGTTACAGGTTTTGGAAATACTGTTTAATCATGTAATCATGAGCAATAAATAGCATTATTTCCATCCTTTTTCTGTCTTTACATTAAAACAACATCCTGTCCAGTTTAGACTTTGAAGAAATGTTAATGTGATGGTATCGCACATCACTGATGCATTTAACAAACTATTATTTGACTTAGTCCATGGATGCAAAACTGCATCATAATGAGTTTACAATCTGAATTGTTATATCTATGGTAAGTCGTGTAATACGTGAATTTATTGGTAATAGGGACGGTCTGGTGTTAATTAATTCTGTGCATGTTTTACTTATGGGATATTAAAGTGCCGAAACCTTACAACTCGGACCTGGATACACTGAATTTATTTATAATAGTAAGACACCATACTGGAAACTGTGTCTGTGGTGGACATTGGTGAGTTTAGACCCTTTTCAGAGGTGCTCAAGCATCCCTAAATTTCATCTTAGCACCCCTAAAAATAACTTTA